GAATGAAATTTGCTACAGACCTCTGTGCATCAGTAGAACATTGTTCTTTAGTGGTAAGCTCTCCAACTTCATAATCAAGAAGTTTCAGCTTTAAATCTCAGCCTGAATGCCATCTATTCTGAATATTTCCATGAGTTTCCTCTGTCCCCTCAGACAAACAACCCATTTAAATAGGTTATGACCATTTCCACATCCTTTCTATTTATCATTCTCAGTTGTCCCACCATCAAACGATAATGCTCGCAGTTGAGAAAGTGGTATTAAATAAACCAAGATCAATCAATTTGCATGTTCAAGATAAGCTGCAGGGTGTGCTGAAAATAGCACATTTTGATTGGTTGTGCCATGTCTTACCATATACATGAATTAAATTTAAAGAAAACCAGCCACTAAATATCTCCAGACTGTATACTGACAAGTCCCCAGAACCTGGTTTACAAACTTAGTCAATTCACTAGGTAATCTGGAAATCATTAAGTTGTTCAAAACTAGATTATGAGTTAAGATTATGATCTTATGGGACAGGAGGCTCTGTAATTTGGTAGACAGGTGCAAATGTTAGAGAGGAATTTACTATCTATATCTTCCTGACAGCTCTTGAATACAGAGACAGAATATTCCTCTGGAAAATTAATACCTATCTACCAAATTACATGTGACATTCCCAGAAAATCATAATATTCAACACAGTGAAAAACATAAATGTCTTATAATCTTATGAGTACCTGTAGCTAAACCCTCGGCATGTGAAATATCTTGATCGCAGGCATTCCAACTCACATTCTCCAACTGAGTGCACGTTTAATCTGTCCTTCACCACAGAATGGTCTAGGCTTTGCCCACTCCGCACCCTCACAAAACATTCTGTAAAAAAATAAGATAATGTGAACAAAATTTTTGAAACTTGAATACTGCCATATATAATTGGTTGTACCCAGCATGTAATGTAAAAGCTTTCCTCATGTCAATCACTTTAAATGTTCCAATGTCTTGAATAGTACTGCAGTATCTGTTTTTAAGCCATTGCCTTCCCTTCCTCCTATTTACCTAATTAACTACCACTCAGCGCTACAGCCCTGGGTGAGCCTTTGTCTCCTCTACAACCAGTCTCCACAACCAATGTGTGCTGCCATAGGAATGAACCCACACATGATGGCCCAAGGCTAGTTGTTAGGTTTCTGATCAAAATTCTTTTTACAGGATGAGGTTGCTAGCCCCATGCCCAACCCCCAACCTTATGGACCAGGGTATCTGTCTTAGTCTGGACTCTCCCCTTTGACCTTTCTGGCAAGGGTGACCCTACCAGTGGTAAAACTACAGCCAGCATAGCTCTCCAGGTCACAGTGTCATGCAGGCCCCATCACCATGACAAGGTGGAGACACCTTTGGGGGTCTTCCTCTTATTTCTTTCATAAAAATTGAGCCTGGTATGCTTTTTAAACATCTTGAGTTTTGAATATGTTCTATGTAGTACACTCCAAGAAATCAGTTTTTGATATTAAATAATTTCACGTATAAGGGGCAGGTGTGACAACTGTGGGTTCTAGATTTGATGATTGGATATATTGGATGTCTCTGTTACAATTACAGTTGACTGTAACAGTTCACACGGGTTGCTCAGACTGGTCTCTAGTCTCTCAAATTCTCTCTCTGGATGTCTGAAACTTGGACTGAACTAATTTCATGCAGACCAAGTTGGACAATACAGTCCCCTATTATTCTCTGTTGCCACAAAATGTGTAACAGTCTCCAGGTAACGCAATAATTTATACAAGTGTATTTGTTGCTGTGGAAATATGTTTCATCAGCCTTTGTCTAGCAACAGACATCTCTGCTGTGCTTCCCTGAGTGCACACTTCTGGCTTTCAGGTGTCACGTCACAATATCTTTGTAGTTATTCAAGATCTGACAAATCATCCTGTGATGTTTGGTTATAATCATCAATTTTATTCTGAAACTCTCTTATAAATTCTCTGCAATCTTTATCAGTTCATATTCAAGTGCGACTCTGATCATTCAAGACAAATACATTTATAACTGACTAAGCAGATTAATTTGAAACAACAATATAATAAAAACATTATGTCAAAAAGTTCAAAGTACTGTAATATATGACATATTGTGTTAGAAAAAGAAATTCGGTGGTATTTATTTTCTTCAGCACAACTTCTCTGTACACTATACACTATATGCTAATTGCCTACTATATGCTTTGGGCGTTCAGCCATTTTCAGGTATGCACATTCATTGCTGGTTGCACTGCTCACACCTTATCCTCAATCCTGACAAGAAAAAATACTGCTGAAAATACAATACTAACTGATGGTGGCGAAAAGAATGAAACGTGTAATAGATAATTAATGTACAGTGCATCTACTTGTATACAGATGTTGTACTGATGGAAGTAAATACAACTGGAAATAAAACAAAACGTGTCACTACATTACAATAGTTACTATATTAAGGTGCTCCAAGATTTTGCTACAGTATTTGTGCTGCTATTTTCACATTTTCTGAGTATTTTTTTTTCCTGAGATAAATTCTGATGGTATAAATGTCATATGAAGGGTGAAAGAAAATAAAGCAATTCTGGCCGAATTAAAATAATGTACCAAGCTACTGCAGTTGCTGTGATTATTACATAAGGAAGAATGAAATTGTAGTTCATACCTGTTGAAATAATGCATTATTCATTGGTTTAAAGTTAGTTAATTCAATGGTATATTAATGATGCTGTATCAGTGTAAACGTTATTTCACTTAGAATAAGATGAAAGGAACAGTCTAAGGCCAATTTCAAAATATCTGACTGGTTAATGACCACAGATATCAGTAAAGACAGCTGGTACCCCAGTCAAGATTTGAATCTTGTACCTCCAAAATAAAAGACAAATAACTGTTTTCACTAACTTTACCTGTCATTGTCCTAACATGCTAAACTGTAGTAGTGTTTCACTCGTTCCACAAAATATCAAGTGTTTTGAAGACCCACAGCAATAACTGCCACAGAACAGTTAACAGATTTATCACATAATACAGTTCAAGAGTTTGAAGTAAAAAAAAAATAAATAAATAAAACGCTCTGAGTCAGTTTCACCAAAGTTCATGTCTTTTTATATCTCAAATAGCAGAATGTTAATTTTATGTTACTTTTACATATGAATTCTATTAGAGGAACTGATAGTCACCCTTTACTGGAAAGTTTGATTTCTGCATTTAAGAGAAGAGAGGCACACAGAGATGCAGAAGAAGCAACGTGACAAAATTAATATTGAAATTAGCAAGCACCTGAAAATGTGCATAAAAGGAAAGACTGTATAAAGAAGAAAATTTGGTGGTATGACATGTAAACAATTTGAGAAACTGCATATGGCAAGAACAACAAAGTCAAAGAACACTAATAAGAAGATGTGAAAGAAAAGATAAAACATATAGCAACTACAAGGAATTTTTAAACATGGAAGGAAGGAGCCTGAAATGATTGATAGACAGTTATTGGGTATGGGACTGGGAGATATATGGAAAGAGGCACATCGCAGGATGTGGGAATGGCAGTGTACATACCACTCTCTACATATGGACGTCGCTGAGGAAATTTCTCCTGACAGGTTCGAGCATATTCATTCCTAGAATAAACGTCATAGTTCCTGTCTGGAAGTATGTCAGTGTAAGGATCGAGGTCGTAGTAAATCCTGTCACTCAGGTGGCAGTTTTCATGTGGAAAACTGGGCTCCAAACTGTACCTGAAACCATACCATAAGTATCATGTAAGTTGATGAAGCCGGCTTGAACTATATGCCATGTACATTGGTTTGTAATGATCTTATGTTTCTGTAACTATTTCTGTCCTTAACATCAGTATCAGTTGCAGATGTCGGGGACAGTGGTGGTTCGTGAAACATCAGTCATTTTTAATCACCTGAGTTGGCTGACAGCCCGAGATTTCATTAACTGTAGCTGATATGAAAGCTTCAGATCTTACGAAATGCAAGTTGATTTCTCAAAAGGAAGTATTGGTCAAGGACATGTTACTACTCATCAGGGAGAAGAGAATTCCCACTGTTATGGCCTTGGTCACCAAGGAATAAGATGAGACTCTAAAGAATTTGAGGTTATTTCCCCAACCATCAATGGTACTTGCCCTCCTTAAATCAGGGTAGCACCTCTGGAAAACATCATAAAATATCTTCAGAAGAAAATGGAAGGGAATTTGCTGGAGAACTGGAATGCAACGACAAGTCTTGCCTACACAACGCAATCTGATAATTTATAAGGAAAAGGAGGATTGTGGTAACACAAGGTATATATGTGCTTCTCCTTTAATAAGGTTTGACCATGTGGACATATTGTTAAATAAATAAAAAAAAAAGACTTGTTAAGAACATCATTCCATTGAAGCCCACATCATCTTTGGAATTTTAAATTCCTTACCTTCAATCAGAATATAAGAAAGCTACACATAAAGTAAGTAAGTAAAATAAAGGTATCCTTGTAATAGGCCATGGATGCCCATAGGGTTGTGAGATGTTGAGGTTCCCACATTTTCTAGACAATCAGCTCACAGATGGCGGTGAGGTTGTCAGCCTTATGCGCTGGCTGCCTTTTACCTCCAAAAATATCCCAAGAATATTCCTGGTACTCATTTCTGTTAGAGGCTGAGTAGACCTCAGGGCCGTAGTGCGGCCGGAAGGATTAGGCCAATTGAAAAAAATCCAATGACCTCATCAGGACTTGAACCCGCGACCTTCCGGCTTGTAGTATAGTGCCTCAACCAGCTACGCTACCGCATGCCCCCACAAAGCTAGACATACTACAATAAAATGCTACACAGTAAACTGAGCAGATTAATGGGGAAAGATAAGTAAATGAATCATATAATCTCTTGAACATGATTTACCTGAAACTGAAACTGTTGCATATAAAATGACCCTCTTTGGCACATTCTATCTCACAGTCATGAAGAGACGGAACTGTGATTGCCACTTTAAGAATTCTCCTATCAAGTCTGAAGCCAGTTCGAGACCGCAGAAAACATTCTGGAAAAATACAACAGATTTTCTTTCAGGTTTCTTTTTCTATAATGTTGCAGAAATTCTTAGATCTCTTATCCTTCAATTAGAAAATGTAAGTCTTAAAAGTTATACTGATGAATTAACTTGCATTGTATGTAGTATTTATGCATGATTCACATCCAAAGGTTTCCAGCAGATTCAGGTTTAAAGTATTAACTTTTGATAATTCGCTTTCATTTCAAAATAACCGAGGATGTGAGGCATGCAACACGCATGGGCAAGATAAGAAATGTGTAAAAAACTGAAAACCTGAAGGAAACAGATCACCTGAAAGACTTTACGACTTCTGTTTAATGTATGGGTTTATGTGGTCACAGATCTTCAAAAGACATGCAACTTTGTTAGTGGCATTTCTGGTGTATTATAAAGCAACATACTGATGAAGTATTGCGTTTGGACATATGGAATTTGGTGAAACTACTTTCTAGTTTAACACAATGAGATTAAAATACTCATTTATGTCTGTGAAATATATTTCTTGACTGCTCACCTTCATGGTAACCAAAGGGTGGAGCAGAGCCATAGCCATGAAAACCGACTTCCTTGTTTCCATTCCATCCTCCGGATGGCCTACTCCAATACCAACCCCTTCTCCCTCCTCCTGAATTTTGCCAATCTGATGGTGGGCGACCAGTTCCATACCACCCATTACCCCCACCTCCACTACCCCCATAGAATCCTACTCCACCCCCATGAGATCCTCCACCACTCCCATAGGAAAACCATGGACCATAATTTTGACCACCGCCACCCCCACCATAATTTACACTTCCATAAGAACCCCAGGGTCCATGACTGGAACTACCTCCGTAATTATCCCATCGTCCACCACCGTATGAAGGTCTCCTTCCACCATCCCATGAATTGTAACGGTCTGTGTTCCCTCCCGACCCGTAATAGTGCTCGTAAGCATTGGAGTCTCCGTATAGTCCGCCCCCGAGGGGCACATTGCAATCGGGCCCGTCGTTACGGTCTCGCTCGTAGAAATCGTATTCCCTATCCGGGAAGAAGTCCCGACCCAGATCCAGACGTGTGGACGGAACGTCGGTCAGTTCACAGCTGCCTCGCCCGAATCCGCCCACATCCACCCTGCAACACGTTGCATGCAACTCAGTTATTTGCAATGAAACCATGGACACAGCAGTTCCTCCACCAAGGTCTTGTGGGAACCATGGCCGCTTTGACACGCATCGGAATCTAAGTTGCCTGTTTCTACATTAAACATATAAGACATCCAACAGTAAGTTTCCTTCTAAAATAATGACTGACCACTTAATATAGGCCTACTAATTGAAATGTCAAGCCATCAATTTCATTAAAACATTAACCTACCCTTAAAATACACCACAAACTTTCAAGTACATAATTTAAAATAATTCTAGAGTTCGACATAATATCATCTTATACACTTGAAAAGCATAGTTAAATAACCAATGAATTAAAGAAAATTTTGGACTTCTGCATAAGAACGTCCCATATGACTAGGGGGTCATTTATGAGCCTTGCATTCCGCTGAGATTTGAGCATACACACTGCGACGATCAGATGAGTTGTACAAAAGGTTCCACCTAACTGCCGAAAAATTCAGTATGCTGTTGGTTGCAAAGTTGTCTGAAAAGGATAATTAACAAATATAAAACAGCAGATCGGAGCGAGAAGTTCTACGCCAGCCTGTGGGTTCAGGGCTGTTTCCTGATGATTTCAGTACTGTCGATTTATTTCGCTATACATACACTTTTTTCAGCCAGTTCTTATACGATGAAGTCATAAATATGGTGTCGAACGGGAGTAACACTGGGAGCGCGGAGGGCGGCCTACTCTTAGCAGGGCTGAAGCAAATCTACTAAATGCCTCCCAAGGAGAAATGAAATTCGTCCCCCCCCCCTTCCTTCCACATTAAAACAGATCAATCTCTCAAAACTTCGTCACCATAACATGAAATTTCCAGACAATGTTACAAAAAACGTCATTTGTGTCGTAACCTTTTTTTTTCTTGACACTACAGCCCCAGTGGGCCTAGGCCTACCTCCATGAACTTCTCCGTTCACTTGGGTGATTTCTAGATCTTACACATCCGGTAGGACTCCTTGGGCGGGTGATCAGCTCGTCGCAAGGCCTCTACCTGTACATAAACACAGAAAAACGCACACACACAAACTAAACATCCATGCCCTGAGTGGGATTCGAACCCACGATCCCGGTTTCCAAGCGAGCGAAGACAGTGCATGCCTTAGACCGCTCGGCTACCGTGACCGGCGTCGTAACCTCTAAAGCAGTTTAATGTACAATGCTGCATAACGTGGTCAGATTACTGCCACATGCTACATATGGTTATCTCGTAAAAGATCATCAGAAATTCTCATTTAACAACAACCGAAAAAAGATGATATTGTGAAATGAGCCATCTATTAAACTGTGCCACTCAACCTTGCCGGTCACTTGGTTGAAAAGAATCGAAACCACAGATGTCATGTCAAGTTTTCTGTGTTAGGAAGTAACTAAACCGAGATTCGGCCAAAGAACCTCCAGGTCAGAAGCCAAGAACGTTACTGCCACACAGTCCTGTTCTGTGAAACAGCGATGTGCAGCTCCCAATACAAAGTAGGCCGTGCGTAATTTCGAACGTGGTCTCAAACAAATGTGGAAAAAGTTTGCCCTTGTGTTTAATTATGCCCAAAGCATTCCTAATCTTGGCACTAGACAAAAGCGAATGATCAGCTTTACGATCCAGCCACTTTACCACCAAGGCAAGGAGCCCACAGTATCCATTTGATAATAGCCTGGCTGGGCGTTAGGGCCAGCCTGTACTCTGTGGAGAGAATTCTTGCCACTCCGAGATCCGAACCCAAATTCTCCTGTCGTATAGTCCGTAGCTTAGTGGCTGCATCGCCTGAGCTATCCCTGCTCTAAACAAGTATGTCGGCCTACTAAATTAACCAGAAAATTGAGAATTGCATTTGTATTTGAATGTCGAAATCAAAAAGCACAGTCCGAAAGTGTACCACAATGTTTGGGAAAAGTATCAGACATGGGGTCACACTTATTTATGCAAGAAAGCACAAGTAATTTTTCATTGTCGTCTTTATTTCGAAACGAATACTTTAAGTCATATTCAACAAATCTAGTCAGTATAATTTCATAAACACCATATGACTCAATTTCAAGAACTGTGGAAGAAACGTAACGCTTTGATGCCAACCATGTCGTATAATTTTAAAACCGGTTGAGTGAATTCTAACAATGGTCAATGACGCAATTTAGAGTTTCGTAACGTGGTCCAGCAACGGGACGTTAAGTCAAATATGGAACAAAATGGCCACTTACCTTCCTGTATATAAGCACATTTTTGTCTTTTCCTCTGTCACAAGACTTGACAATGTCATTTGCTTTGAAGATTATGACGGTGACAGAAGAAGCGAAAGTCTTCCTGTCTCCTTACGAGGAGCGGAAATTACATGATATTGCAAAGAAGATAAAAGCAAATGTTATCTTGATCGACTTAGTCGTCTCTTCTTTGCATGCATACACGGTGAATGACTTGGCATAAAATTAGGATGTTTTTAAATGTGAGATACATGTGAATTTAATCTGTAAAAGGGCTCTGGTAATTATTCATTATTCAGCATTACTTTACTGTTCATGCTGTGCTCTTGATGGAAATAATTGTGTCATTTATGATGTCACTTTTTCTGTATCCGCTGCTATGTCCTTGCGTAAAAGGAAGATGAAAACAAAAGTGAATACGCTGAGCTCAGCCCGACCCACCATTTACCTCGCTTGAAGATAAACCTCATTACACGAACTCGCTACAGAGCTGGCGCACTGGAAGGGCCGTCAGCCCTCAGTGGCCACAGAAAGAAAAACTTGTTTTGTTTACGGAGATATATTTGGGTGGCATTCGTAGGTGCTCTCGATTCGATACGTCACGATGATGCCTGCCTTTCCGCATGACATCTGACAGATTTTGACTAAATTCTACAAAATTATGCCTAATCTCCTCCAATCATTTTTAAGATCGAGGCATGAGCCGCACATGGAAGAAATACATAAACGCATTAGTCTAAATGGGCCCATACACGTGCGAGTCTGGCTCGCGAGTCCGACTCGGCTCGGGTTCCACTGAGCCAAACTCGTCCGTGTGTGGGTCGCAAAGTTGGGAGTCAGCTCATGCGGGACTCACGACCCAGACTCGTACGTGTATGGGCCCCTTAAATGTTTTAAAGGGAAGAGACCATTTGAAGTACGTATATTTAGGGGTTAGTGCTTGTTTTCTGCACTATTTAGAAACTAACCATCTTACTTAGGTCTGGCATTGTTTCTGTAATTTTCTTTGTAGTATTGTGGCGTGTATACCCGTTGCTAGGCAACGACTGCGAGAAAAGCAGATATACAACAGCCATTACGGAATAACGGCTCCACAAAGATGTATGTCTCAAATGCAATAATTAAACCACAAGAATAAGGAACGATTTTTTCTGTGCAGTGCATGCCGAGATGTTATAAGCAGGACAGTTAGTTAGTTAGTTAGTTAGTTAGTTGAGACGAGTTGAGTGAAGAGTCGTGAACTGCTGAGGTTCAGTCCTTGTGAGCTGTTGTTGTTGGAAGCCACTACCGAGGAACGGCTAAGGAAGACTGATACTGTCTTGGTTATTTGTAATTACGTTCTACAAGAGTTCGATAAATCCGATTACCAATCAAAATCCCGTCTGTAGTCACTCAAAAATCGTGACAGTATTTATGTTTTCGCCCAAACACTCTCAGTGACGGCATGGACCAGAAACTAATTTATACTCATATCATTCAGTTCCACTACTTTCTGATTTTGTTGGACATTCCTAATGGAGCATTCCAAAGCGAAATTGAGAAGCAATTCTTTCAGCCTATTACAGGAAGATATTTGTGTATCACAAATGACTCTTCTACAGGTTCCATTTAACAGACTTCACTCAGATACGAATATGCCAAATTCAATGAGAATACTTCACACCCTTGTCTCATTGTTCATGCTCTTTCCCAATACCTGATTAGTAGCTTACTTTTTTTTTCTTTGGCACTACAGCCCCAGTGGGCCTAGGCCTACCTCCATAAACTTCTCCGTTCACTTCGGTTTTTATAGATCTTACACGTTCGGTAGGACTCCTTGGGCGGGTGATCAGCTCGTAGTAAGGCCTCTATCTTTACACAAAGACAGAAAAACGCACACACACAAACTAAACATCCATGCCCTGAGTGGGATTCGAACCCACGATTCAAGCGAGCGAAGACAGTACATGCCTTAGACCGCTCGGCTACCGTGACCGGCCAGTAGCTGACTTACTACATCAGAATTCACACTGATTATTTATTCCTTTTCATCTTTTCAGTAGCTATTTCCACTTAAACAAAATTAGACTTAAGTACCAAAGACTTCAATTTTCGTATGGAGTCGTTAATGTTTCTTTGTTAATTTTAAAGTAAATAAATAGAAAACTCACCATTATATAGGCACTAATCTCCAACATAAATTTTTAGAGATCCGCGTTTTTTTTTGTATCCAGTTTTGCCAACTACGGTATTTGGTTTCATGACTCTGCCGTTTTTCAATGCGGTCGGTTGTGCAGGAAGATAACGAACACAGTCAAAGCCGTCGTCATTATTGTTTGGTGATCAACATGGGCTTGGAATGTCTGTAATCCAGTATCTGGGTGGAAGAAATGGGGAAAAGCTAGAGTAACAGGTCTCCAGGCCGAAATGCGAAAATGGGGTCCTTGAAATGTGAAGGATTTCTTTGAATTCGACGGCGACGTTCTTTGGTATTGCAGAGTTGAATAAGATGATCACTGGTATGCGATCTTAAGTCTCTGAGAACAACGGAACAAGTGGAATTTGCTGAAGCCGGCTGTTTACGGTTACAGGGTTTATATAAAGTCCCTGTGTCAAGATGCTATACGAAACGCAGACTCACGGCTTCTGTTCCCTGTGCACATTAGCCACTGTGTGGTTCTGCTGGCTGGAGTCAAAACGCATCTCGAGGTAACAGCGCTACACCAGACACCTGCACCAAACTGTATGTGGAATAGGTGT